CGAATCGTCTCGCGCGCAGACTTGACGACTTCCAGCTTCCCGAACAAGCCGGTTTCCGAAAAGGCTTTAGCACCATAGACCACATACATACCCTTCGGCAAATTGCACAGAAGTCCGAGGAGTACAATTTGCCACTATGTCTGGCGTATGTGGACTATGAGAAAGCCTTTGATTCCGTCGAAATTTGGGCGGTGCTGCAGTCCCTTCAGCGATGCCAAGTTGACTGTCGGTATATCGAAGTGTTGAAGTACTTGTACAGTAGGGCTACGATGGCTATCCGAGTACAGAACCAGAGTACGAAACCTATCCAATTGCAGAGAGGTGTAAGACAGGGTGACGTCATATTCCCGAAACTCTTTACCGCTGCATTGGAAGATGTTTTCAAGCTTCTGGACTGGAAAGGATACGGTATCAACATCAATGGCAAGTACATCACTCACCTTCGATTTGCCGACGATATAGTCCTTATGGCAGAATCGCTGGAGGACCTAAGCACTATGCTCAATGACCTCAATAGTGTTTCCTAACGGATAGGTCTTAAGATGAACATGGACAAAACAAAGATCATGTTTAATGTCCATGTCACACCTATGCCGGTAGTTGTTGGGAACACTAATCTCGAAGTTGTTGACGAGTATGTTTACCTGGGACAAATAGTCCGACAAGGTAAGTCCAACTTCGACCGAGAGATCAATCGACGGATTCAACTCGGTTGGGCAGCGTTCGGGAAATTACGGCACATTTTCTCGTCAGGTATACCACAAATTATAAAGTTGTATGTACAAGAAGGTATACCTCAAAACTTGAAAACGAGATTGTACACCCAGTGCGTGTTGCCAGTGATGACATACGGAACTGAGACGTGGTCTTTCACTGCTGGCCGGTTGAGGAAGCTCAAGGTCGCTCAGCGAGCTATGGAGAGGGCTATGCTCGGAGTTTCTCTGCGTGATAAACTCAGAAATGAGGATATCCGCAGTAGAACCAGAGTGACCGACATAGCCCAACGGATTAGTAAGCTGAAGTGGCAATGGGCCGGCCATATAGCTCGAAGAACAGACAACCGATGGGGAAGAAAGGTTCTCGAGTGGCAGCCTCGTACCGGCAGGCGAAGTGTTGGGCGTCCCCCCACTAGATGGAGTGATGACCTGGTAAGATATGCAGGAAGTCGATGGATGCAGGTGGCTCAGGACCGTGCTTTGTGGCATTCCTTGGGGGAGGCCTATGATGATGATCTCTTATTTCTGCTTTTCGTAATATGTCTATATGTCTATTAACGACATTGTCAAATGAAATAGGTTCAAATGTCAAATCAACCAATTATTTTTGTATATATTTTATTTATTTAGATTGCTTTTAATTTTGCTATAGGAGCCGTTGTGTATGTGGTGATTTGAACTTTAATAGTATTATTATGATATTTAACGCGAGTACAGTTTGGACTAGCCATCTACGTAGGACAGGTTTTTATAGTGTACGATTGTGTGCACACACTATTTCCTAAATCTGATAGTTCTATGGTATGGCAATCCGAAACGAACTATACTTAGAAACTACACAGTCAATTGTGACTGCTAACATTCGATTTGATAATAAAAATGTGATTTTATTTATATTATTTTTCCAGATGCAAGCAATGGGTGAAATAGCTGGCACATGCACCAATTGAAAAGATTCACATGTTAAAACATATTTTTGTGGCAAACATTGCATTTGAACCCAACTAAAACGAACTGTTATTTCATCAGTGGACTTAATTTAAACTTCCAAAATTATGTGTATGTTAATTAGGTTTCATTTATATGTAGCAAAAGATAATATCCCTCTAAGTCACATTTTGGTAAGAATTCGATTATATAAATAAACTCAAAGTTATTTGTAATTACCTGGTTATAAATATTTTTTATAGATTCATCTACAAACATTAGCTATAATGAGCACTAATTTTGAAAGCGACAATTAGTTAACGATCTTTGCGAATAGTATGTACATAGGTACCTCTGTGAAGAAGCCTAGCGATTTGTACATAGTATTTGTTACACATAAAAGCAATTTAATGCAATCAGTGTAAAAAACCTAAAATTTTTACCCTTTGAAAAAACAAACTTTGAAACCAAGCATCCAGACGCAGACTATTTATTTTACAGCATAGCAACACTTGTTCATTGCAGGAATGAAGCCTCGATCCTGCAATGCCGCAGCCAAACGCTTAGCCACTGCGCTACGGAGTCGTCATTTATTTTTTACTTAATTAATTACTAGTATAATAGTGCGTTTTTTATTTTATATTTTCAATATACATATTTTTGTACCTAATTGTAGAGATATAATTACAAATTGCTGTGTGTCAAATACATTGATTTCTTATCCTCATCGGCATTTTTATTCAATCCCCACGTTAAAAAAATTAATTCTTATAAATAATTCAGTATGGAGATCTAACTTTTATTATGTAAAAATATCGATAAATAATATATCGATAAAGGTTATATCGATAAAATTATTCGAGGATAGATATTTTCAGCACTATTGTAATTCGTCAATGTTGTCAACACTAGGGATGATTGATGTTGTAGAAACATCGATGATGACATCGATGTTGACATCGATAGCTCAACATCGATGTTCGATGTTTATCCTACGCAAAACATCGATGTTGGCCATTATCGATGTTTTTTTGCACATGTATATAATTGGTTAGAATGAGATGAATAAAAAAATTGTCGTGTTGTTTATGGTAATTAATGAAATAAATGAAATTAATAAACAATGTACTGTAAAACAGTAATTTAAATAAATTGGCAGAAGTTCACAAATATCTAATTCATTTGTTATATTGTCGAATATTTTTGACAATTGATTGAAGAAATAATAATTTTGACAAAGAAGTATCTTTCAATCTGTTTCTCTGTTGATAAAGAGTTGAGGCAGCTATTGAAAATAATTTAAAAATAAAAATTTTGTCCAACTGACTTCAATATAAATTATTAAGGATAACTCAATAACTATTGGACAGACTTATATGGTTCAAATTTAAATGGGACCACATGTGAAGCACCAGATTGCAAATAAAAAAAAGAATCAACACATATTAAAAATATTTTCGAGGCCATATAGCTCGAAGAACCGACAACCGATGCGAAAAAAGGTTCTCGAGTGGCAGCCTCGTACCGGTAGGCGAAGTGTAGGGCGACCCCCCACTAGATGGTGTGATGACCTGCTAAGACATGCAGAAAGTCGATGGATGCAGGTGGCTCAGGACCGTGCTTTGTGGTATTCCTTGGGGTAGGCCTATGTTCAACAGTGGACTTATAAAAGGCTGTAATGATGATGATGATGACATATTAAAAAAATATACAGTGGAATTGAGTTTTTTTTTATATAGGGTAAGGGTGACAAACGAGCACACAGTCCACCTGGTGGTAAGTGGTTGCTGCGGCCCATAGACATCTACATCTATCCTCTGTTACAAATCAAAATGTAGATGCGTTGTCACCCGTGAGGATTAAGATGGTATGCCTCATTTCCAGTAAAAAGGGCCTCCGGCCACCTTCACTCACCAAGCGAAACGCAAAGGTAAACCTCTACTTCACGCTGGTTTTCTGTGAGGTCGTGGTACCACCCCGGATCGAGCCGGCCCATCCATGCGACAGGAAAAGCTGCCGCGTGGCTCTACCACTGTTAAAAAGTACCTCCTTCTTTTTGAAGTCGGTAGATAACCAATCAGATTGCACTGATGCCGCGATTGTGGTCAAATATCTCACCGCAATTTTTTTTTATTTTAGATAGGTAGAACCAATAACATTGTTCTAAGCGTTAACATCAACTATCTGATTTTTTTAATAACAACCGATAAAGAAACAGACAACTAACAACAACACCAATAACAAACGAAATCAGTGATAATTGCGATATAACAGTTGACACTTGACAGTTAAATTTTGATACCCCATAATGATATATTTTTAGGTTATCGATGCATTCAAGCATTCTGAATTATTCAAAATTTTAAATATTTGAGAGGAGATGCAATATTTAATTGATATTGATTTCGCGGGTTCGCAAGTAGCCAATAATCGATTATGGGTTTATTGACATCGATGTTTAGATGTTTGACATGTGGCAACATCGATGTTAAAACATCGATGATCATCGAACATCGATGTCAAAAATAGTCAACACTGTTTGTCAAAACTAAATGTCATATCTTGATGTTGGTTACTTTTACTATGGAAGTCCCGCCTCTTAAACGTAGTGGTTATATTCTCTTAGCAACCAATCAGGATGCAGAAGCTAAGTCGAGTTTTTTTTTTATAGGATGAGGGTGAAAAACGAGCACACAGTCCACCTGATGGTAAGTGGTGGCTGCGGCCCATAGACATCTACATCTATCCTCTGTTACAAATCAAAATGTAGATGCGTTGTCACCCGTGAGGACTAAGATGGAATGCCTCATTTCCAGTAAAAAGGGCCTCCGGCCACCTGCACTCACCAAGCGAAACGCAGAGGTAAACTTCTACTTCACGCTGGTTTTCTGTGAGGTCGTGGTACTAGCCCGGTTCGAGCCGGCCCATCCGTGCGACAGCAAAAGCTGCCGCGTGGCTCTACCACTGTTACAAAGTTTAGTTCGTGAGATGTCCGTCTGATTCAGTTAGAATCTACTAGTTAGTCTGTACTACATACCTATCTATTTATCTGAGTGTTTTGGCGGGAACTTGACCGGCGACGGATTGCTGCTCCTGTATTATTGTTTAGATAATGGTTTGAAGTGGATTTTGATATATAACAGTGGTCCGATTTTATGTATTAATTGTTTACGCATGTGAACTATTAGTGGAAACGGTGTAACAATTGCTCTGAAGGTGATGTGATTCTCAAGATAAGGTGTCTGTCTGCTTAGGCGCCTTGAGATACCATCACCAACTGAGAGAGAGCTCAGAAGAGCTAGAACCCAGAGCCGTAAAGCCAGTTATTAAGAACTTAAGAACAAGATATTTATCTATGATTGTGATGTGACATAACTTGTGGACATAACCTATAAAAATATAATAAAGAGAGTTGTTTCATCTAAAATTATAAATAAAATTTCCAGAAGTATAAAAAATCAAATAAAAATTAATATGATATCTAGATTCGGTTATATAATTAACTTATTAAAGGCGCTAGAAAGGAATGTATTACATAGCTTTGGTCATCCTCCGAGAGGTATGTTTTTTTTATCAGAATCAGTACAATGCAACTTCAAGACACTTAGATTAAATTTCACACATTCAATTACTCCTTCTTTTTCAATAAATAGATAAGATTTAAGCAAATATATTGGAAATTTGAATCCCCAAAGTTGTTCTTCTGTCAGTATAGTATGTTATTAGTAGTTTGTTTTTCTTTGATTTAAGAAAAACTGATAACATTCCTGTCTTCCAGTATAGTAAATTACTTAATTTATTAACTATGGCTCAGTAGTTCAGTGACTATTGGTTATAGACTGTTGCTTTGAATCTCACACAGAGTAAGTTTTTGTATCTTTATTTATATCCATTAGAACATCATTTGGGACATAAGGAAACCTCATCTCATATTTGTTATTTGTTTTTTTTAACCTAAGGTATGTACTGTTGCAATAACAATGTCAGTAAATTAATTTTTTATAAAACATTATTTGAGTTGACTAAGTTAGTTCCGAGTAAGAGAATAGCACAATCTCGATTGCACTATAAAGAATTACAAAAATTCATTTCTCATACTGATACCCTTGGGGGTAGACTTTTTTCTCCCAGTTTATTTGGGATCACTCTTGAAGTGTAACCAATTAAATAACTGACAAAGATATCACATAACATACATACATACATAAAACCATACAGATGAATTGAGAACCACATACTTTTTTGAAGTCGGCTCAAAACAAATTAATGATGCAGTCACTCTGTATTTTCTTGTTGTCAGGACAGTTAATTTTGTAATCTGTATTTCTCTTAATTTAAGTATTTAATTAAGAGCTTAACTCTTTAACAAAAATATAAAAAATTTAAGTCTGTAATTGCAATAAAGGACTTTTAATGTTGTTCATTTTTGCATACAAATATAATAAAATTATAATAGTATGTTATATGTATATCCCACATATTATGTTAAAATTAGATTTTTTATTTTTATCTTAATAATCTGATATTTTCACACCCTGATTTATCACAAAAACTTATTCATTACAAGCTTATTTACCGATTTTTAGTTAAAAGTTAAATTTATAATAAATTTTTTGTTTTAACATATACAGGTATTGTTATAACAAAAAATTGTTAAAAAGTGGTTCATCATCATCATCACCATTACAGCATTACACAAATCCACTGCTGAACATAGGCCTCCCCCAAGTAATGCCACAAAGCACGGTCCTGAGCACAGAGCAAATACAGAGAGGAGGTGTTGTAATTAGATTTCACTATGTAACTATGCATGACAATTTGCGGGGTAAGGGGATGTTAAGCCCCACCCACTTTACTATCTACTTCTATCGATAAATAGTAAAACTACTCGAATCATTCCATATCGTTGTTGCAATGTAGTTTAGTTACCTTGACGATAGATGGCGGCCTGTTCACAAAATTATTATAAAAACATTAAAAATAATATTTTGGTGATTAAAAATTCTTTAGGACTGAATGCAAAACAAATTTCAACACCTTCATATGATTATTTTACCAATACTGAGCTCTACGTAACTTTATGTTTTTAGTTCCCATGACACAGTGTCACCATCTAGTGTCAAATATATTTAATTACATTTGAAAGCCGACACAGAGATTTTTCTAGAACCTTTTTAATAAATTAGGTATAAAATTACTTACAAATGAAATGTGATGCCGTCCATAGCATCAGAGCGTCTATTTGAGTAGTTTTTACATGATGAAACACAACACTTCATCCTTTTCTTCTTTAATATTACGAAAATACATTGATTTGCGATTGTCGACACATAAGTGCACAGTTGCTTTGCCATCTCCTCTTTGTATTTGCTTCGTGGTCCTGAGCCACTTGCATCCATCGACTTCCTGCATGTCTTACCAGGTCACCATTCCATCTTGTGGGGGGTCACTCTACACTTCTCCTACCGATACGAGGCTGCCACTCGAGAACATTTTTTCTCCATCGGTTGTTTGAGCTATATAGCTGGCCCATTGCCAGTTCAGCTTACTAAACCGTTGGGCTATGTCGGTCACTCTAGTTCTACTGCGGATATCTTCATTTCTAAATTTATCATGCAGAGAAACTCCGAGCATAGCCCTTTTCATAGCTAGCTGAGCGACCTTGAGCTTCCTCATCCGGCCAGCAGTGAAGGCCCACATCTCAGTTCCATGGGTCATCTCTGGCAACACGCACTGGTTGTACAATTTCCTTTTCAGATTTTGAGGTATACCTGATGAGAAGATGAGTCGTAATTTCCCGAACGCTGGCCAGCCAAGTTAAATCCGTCGATTGACCTTTTTTTTTTAATAGGATTAGGGTGACAAACGAGCACACAGTCCACCTGATGGTAAGTGGATGCTGTGGCCCATAGACATCTACATCTATCTTCGATTATGAATCAAAATGCTGATGCGTTGTCACCCGTGAGGACTAAGATGGAATGCCTCTTTTCCAGTAAAATGGGTATCCGGTTCTCTACACTCACCATACGAAACACAGCAGCGTTAAGCGGCTATTTTACGCTGGTATTCTGTGAGAGCGTGGTCCTTCCCCGGTCGAGCCAACCCATTCGTGCTACAACCATAATATAGCTGCAGCATGGCTCTACTCTACCACGTTAAAAGTTGATGGTCGAAGTTGGACTTAGTTAGTCAGACTAGTTGTCCCAGGTAAACATACTCGTCAATGACTTCGGGCTTAGTGCTCCCAACAACTACCGGTATAGGTATGCCATATCTTTGTTTTGTCCATTTTCATCTTAAGACCTATCCGTTGGGAAGCACTATTGAGGTCATTAAGCATAGTTCTTCTAGTTCTTATGGCGATTCTGCCATAAGAACTATATTGTCAGCAAATCGAAGGTGAGTGATGTACTCGCCATTGATGTTAATACGGTATTATTTCCAGTCCAGTAGCTAGAAAACGTCTTCCAATGCAGCGGTGAAGAGTGTCGGGGCTATAACATCACCCCGTCTTACACCTCTCTGCAGTTGGATAGGTTTCATACTCTGGTTCTGTACTCTACAAACACTTTAGCACTTCGATATACTGACAGTCAACTTGGCACCGTGGAAGGTCCTGGAGCACCGCCCAAATTTCGACGGAATCAAAGGCTTTCTCATTGTCCACATACGTAAGATATAGTGGCAGATTGTACTCCTCGGTCTTCTGTACAATTTGCCAAAGTGTATTTATGTGGTCTATGGTGCTCAAACCTTTTCGGAAACCGGCTTGTTCGGGAGGCTGTAAGTCGTCGAGTCTGCGTGCGAGTTCGTAATGACTCTCGAAAACAGCACGTAGACGCAGCTCAGGAGGGAAATCGGTCTGTAGTTCTTCAAGAAAGCGTTGTCGCCTTTCTTGAAGAACAGGACCACCGCACTTCTGCTTTACGCCTCCGGAGTAGTGCCACCATGGAGGACGGAATTAAAGAGATTCTGAAGGACTTCAAGTACCGGCTTTTCACCCGCTTACAGAAGCTCCGCTGTAATTTTATCCTCGCCCGGGTCTTGTCGTTTTTAAGGTGCTGGAGGGCCATTCTATACACGCTCAGACTGACGTCCGGGATGTCATCGGAATAGTGTCTATAAGACTTGCTCTTGGATCGTTATTCATACTTGCGTATGGCTACAACGATGATGAGTACAGCTGTCCATAGAACGTGTCAATCTCACTCAAAATCTCCGGTGTCCCGGAAACGGTGCTGCCACACTCGGTCTTCAGCTTCGACAGTCGTTTCTGGGTTCTTTCTGGCAGACTGATCTCTGGCAAAGATTTTGGAGCTCTGGTTCCGCTCGATCACTTCTTCAATACGAGCTGTATTGAAAGTGCGTAAGTCTGCGGGACTTACCCAACTTCAATACAGCTCAGAGCAGGAGATCTGTCTGTTCAGGGGCCTGTATGCTGTCAAATCTACTGAAAACTGCAGCTTCATTTCCCGTCTAACAGCTGTGAGATTAAGAGCGGGATCGGAGAGTTTTTGTGTTCTTCTGCGGCAGGTCTTGCAGAAGTTAGCTCCGACCGCATGGACAGTTGCCATGACCTTGTCATTCATATCGTCCACTGCATTGAGGCATTGAAAACGATTTTGTAACTCGAGCTGAAAGGTTTCGGGACTTTGGATTAGAGCACGAGGGGGACAGAGCGTTGACTTCATTAGACGTGACCTTTCGAACTTAACGTTTACGTTCAGTGTCCCTCTCTGAAAATTCATTTAAAATTGTATAAACAAAATTATTGTTAAGTGAAATTATGTTTAAAAAAAAAGGTCCCGCTGGGTTTCTTGCTGGTTCTTCCCAGGACAGAGGTATTTTCCGAACCAGTGGTAAATAAAATAATGACTTTCAATAAGTATTTGTAATAATCCATATTGAATAAAATCATTCTATTCTATCCTATTCTCACCACTCGATGATCGCTGTCGGTTTTCATCCTCGCGATCACTGAGACATCACTGAACAGTTGTCGTCTAGTCGTCATAATGAAGTCAATCTCATTTGTTATCGAACCCTCGGGGCTTGACCAGGTCCACTTCCTGTGGTGGAAGAAAGAGTTCATCATAAAGAGTACTTCTTTCTCCATGAAGTCGGCCAAATGCTGGCCCTTTGGGTTCCTTTGCCCTATTCCGAATTTCGCTACTTTCAGCTCACTATTCTCTCTTGAGCCTAGTTTTGCGTTGAAGTCTCCCATTAACATAGTATAGTGGATTTTTTAAGCCATGCATTCCTCATGCATGGCTTAACAAGAGACTTGTGGACGATAAATACGACACGGGTTGGATTTAGAATCGTTTGGCACGAATTTGGTGGAGTAAGGTGTTTTATTTGGTAGAGATTTGGTCCCCGATTATAATAATAACACTCACATTAAAAAGTAATACACCGTTATCGCAAAAATAAATAAAAACTATTATAAGCTAAAATGCGTAAAACATGGAAAAATTACTGTGAATGCTTGAGAGCATACAGAATTTTGTGTAAGTGCGACAAAGACGTAACACTAGTGGCACATTATTTTACTGTCTATACTCTCTGTCAAGAGATATTTCGCTAAAGACAACTATAAAGAAAATTTTACCGACTTGATACGAGTATATGAATATTTATGGAGAAGAGAAATTATAAGGAATAAGAGAGATCCTTTTGAGAAATTAATAAAAAAAATTATGTTTACAGATAATAAAAAATGATTATAATATACTGTTTTATTTCTGAATTGTTTAAAACTGTCCAGAAATACTTGAACACCCAGAAATAATTTCAGTTGTAATAGGTTAGAAGGTTGTGGCGGGAGCGAAGTCAATCTGACTTTATAGATAATATATGTGATCTGATCGAATCTGTACTAAAATTAAACAAGCACGTTAGTCTTGTCTGCCCTACTCCTAGTGTTTTTGTAAAGCCGTAGGCGCGGAGGGAGAGCAACTAGAGATGAGTCGTACTAGGTAAATTATGTACTAGGTGCAATTAGTCCAATTCCGTACAAATACTCGATCCAAATACCTGTTCCACCTAGTCCATGAAGTACGCATAGTTTGGTATTGTTGGAATAGTATACACTTTAAAGTACGCTTAGTCTTTACGTACAGCCGATCCCGATACGTGAATCAATCGTCCATTCATACTTTACACAGGCTATGACTGGCCAACGTTAAGATTTATCTACTTTCTAGATAGTTGGCGTATTTAAAATATTTCAATTCATTTCTTATTTAAGACTAATCCGATTTTTGTCCTTTTTTGTTATTTTTTTAAATTATTTTTGTTTCGTTTTTTTAATTACCTATCTACAATTATTGTTTTTTACATACGCGCGAGAAATAAGTCTTACAAGTTTTTAAAACTAAATTATATTTTACAAATGTTACACTCACATTTGTTCGTACAATGACCCCAAGCGATACTGCTGCAATGTTTTTTTAAACAATAAACACTTTAATGTCTAATAAAAAAAAAGTGAAACTTCGAAATCATTCAATACGGTGCCGAGATCACATTCGCATGAGTCGGTACTAGACACTCGACTGCATCATATGGTCTCCATTCGCATCGAGTATTTACTAGTACCTAGTCTATAAAATCTGCCTAGTATTTGGTTGAAGTCCCGGGACTAGTCCCGACTAGTCTCAAGTATTGACAAAGATAGAAAGACTGCTGAATAGTGTAGTTAAAAAAGGACAGAATATATATTCTTACACAACACGAGTGTGCGTCGTGTTACTTACTTTTATACATATTGCAATATAGTTCAAATTCAAATGACTGACACACGAATGATTTTGGCAAACATGTGTGAGCGGCAAAGCGGACTAGTGACTATGGCAACAAAATGCTATCTCGCTTTGCCGCGCCGGTACTTCTATTCTACTTCTTCGATTCGAGCGGGCCGCCGCGTTGTGCCGGGCGACGCGTAGGCACAGTGAGACTAGGTGGATCAAGTATTTTAAAAGCTGGAACAGGTGCAACCTAGTCTCGTTTAATACCTAGTGCCTAGATCTGTTCTAGTATATACGCTTCATCTCTAAGAGCAACCCACGCCCGCTGTAGCAAATAGCACGCACGTGTGCGAGCTGTAGCGGGTGAGGCTGATCGCCGAAGGCCGACTAATAAGCCAAAGCTGCGGAGGTGAGCATGGGTGCCTGTGATTCGCTACGCAAGGGCGAAGGGGCTGCACTTCCCGCAGCGACGAAGTCGTTGTAGAAGTAACTTTGGGTCAATATTCCTGTGTAAAAAAGTGAGGTTATGATTTTACAAAAAAAAACATTACTCATAAACTATACTTTTCCGCAACGACGAAAAGGTAGAGGGGATTTCCCTGATAGGGCACACTCCTGCTACCCACTTCCTCCCTCCTGCCGGAGACGATAAATGTTACTTTCAGGTTAGGTCTATGGGATTTTGTTTTTAATTTTTCTCAAGAACGATGTATTACCTTTTAATGGGAGTAAGGGGACGCTCCCCCTCCCCCTCCTCCTGCCAAACGATTCTAAATTTCAACCTTCGACACCTCCTTGGGACAGATGGTAGCCCTCCTGGTAATAGAACAAGTTGCCGGATTCGATGTTTACCTTGTCCTCTCCCTCTGTTGGACCTCGGATAATCCTATATTATTCCAGCGCAACTTCTCTATCTCTTCTTCCGGCTCCAGGATCTTCTCGTCAGTCCTCAGGGTGCGTGCGTTATATGTTGCCAGGTCGAGTCGTCTTAGATGGCAACCGAACCTCCGCCGGAAATTCTTAGCACCCCCTGGCCCTTACCATGGTCGCAACCGTAGCCAGGAATAGTGGGGCCGCCGGGGACTCGGGGCCGTCTCTTCGTAACTCTCATAATATTGCCATATTGCTATATTGCCATAGTTGTCACGTTTGGCGAGCGGGTTGTCAACCGCAGTTTTTTTATTGTTATTTTGCTGTTATCAGAAAGATGCTGCTGCTCATCTTTTGCCTCAGTTCCCCTCTGTCGCCTCTTACGACACCCACGGGAAGATATGGGGTAGTGGGCATTCTTGCCCGCCACCCTCCTCATGACCATTGACCAGCAATCGCGTTTACGACCACTAGACCAGCAAGACAGACACTCTTTTACGTATAACACTCGCCTGTCTAATTATTATTTTTAACTTTAGATTATTATACAACCTATTTAGGTAGATTAAATTTGTAATAAAGTTATAATTTGATAAAACTATATTCATAGGTTTAAGTCATGCATGTTCTATATTATGTTCTGTGCTATTTATAGTAATAATATTTTTTTCTAGAATTAGCCATAGTACAGATTTATGAAAGACAGAGTTCAAACCCTCCTAAAAAGTTTTCTATAAAGGATATCATTGGAGATGGCATGTTGCTAGCTGTTCCTAAATTTAGAAGAACAATTGAAAAGCGCTGGAAAAGGAAATTTGGATCACCAGAATATGTATGGAAAATGCTTGTGCCCAAAACAAATATCAAAGTATGCCAGGATTGTGGCCATCATCATGAGCGAGGACGCCTCTGTGGTAATTGAGGGACTTTTTTTATAAAAATTGAACATATTAATTGACAAGAGCTGTGTGTAGACAGAAACTCGAATCATCATAATTATCTCAATAAGTAAAAGACCTTAAAGATGACACTAAATCTCTATTCATATGAAAATTCACTGTTGAATTTTTTTTATATCATTACATGAAAAGGCTTATTATTTTTAGTCTTCTTGAGTTGACATTTTATAAATTCGTTATTATATTTATCTGAAATAATAAACAAAAATTAACATATATTATACACAATAAAATCTACAAATACCTAATTTAATGATCATGTAAATTATAGAGTAGTAAAGCCATGCTGGGTCACATTATAGCTGCTGCACAAATAAGTCGGCTCGACCAGGAAAGGAACACGCCGTCATAGAAAACGAGCAAAAAATAGCAGCATAATGATGATGTGTTTTGTATGGGGAGTGACGCACCTGCATTTTGATTCTTAACTGATGATAGATGTCGGTGTCCATGGCCATCTATTTACATTCATATTTTAAATGTGCTAGAGCCATACTGCAACTATATTATTGTAGTTTCAGCACGAATGGGTCAGCTCAACCGGGAAAGAATCACTCTTTTACTTGTTTTAAAAGAAGGAGCAAACAAGCATGCGGCTTATCTGACGATAAGTTACTACCGTTGCTCATGAACAACTGCAACATCGGGAGAGATGCAGATGCGTTGCCGGCCTTTTAAAAAGAGTAGGCTCTTTTCTTGAAGGTCCCTAAGTCGTATTAGTCTGGAAAAATCGTTCCACAAGTAGTCGATTCAACAAGGGAGTTGTGCAAGGAAGAAAACTTCTAGTAAACCGCACAGTGCTGGACCACCAATCATCCAGATGGTATTGAGAATTTTGTCGCGATGTGCGGTGGTGAAATTCCCCTTGCATTCGGTGCACTCCCCGTGGTAGATGCGATAGAATATGCAAAAAGGTGCAACATTTCTTCGCAGCGCCAGTGAGTCAAGGCGATCAGAAAGAACGTCGACGTTCCGGTCTTTTTTTTTAAAAAAAGTTACCCCTACACTAGGATTTTCTCCTGTATCGTGGAGGCAGTTTACAAACATAAATTGCACAAGGGCAAACATGCAGACCCGAACCGATTATTTGTAAGCCTTACAAATACTTGTTCCGTGCGGGATTTGAAACCGCGGCCCACAGCGCAGGAACTCATTGCTCAGTCATTGCGCCACGAGCCGTAGCTCTGCGCTAGATGCGGTCAAGTCAAGTGGAAGGAGCTGGCACTGGGGTGCTCTGGCCCAGAGATGAGAACAGTATTTCATGTGAGGCCGAACTTGCGCCTTATAAAGTTTCAAACGGTGTGGCGGTATGAAATCCCGTTGTACAAAGCACGCCGAGCTTTTTAGAGGCTATTTTGGCCTTCCCTTCCAAGTGACCGCGGGACTATCTTTCGTCATTCGATATGTCGAAGCTGAGGATTCCGATGCTTTCTTTTCTTTAAAAAAAAACTTTACCTACACTAGGATTTTCTCCTGTATCGTGGAGGCAGTTTACAAACACAAATTGCACAAGGACAAACATTCAGACCCGGAACAATTGTTTATAGGCGATACAAATACTTGTTCCGTGCGGGATTCGAACCCGCGCCCCCCAGCGCAGCAATTCTTTTTAACGGTATACGCGTTTGTGTATAACCTTAACTATGTGTTTTTTGGGGATTGAGTTGGACTAGATTTAGTCGCTCCCAATCAGACTTCAACAAAGACTCGACTACATTCAGAAATATGTTTATTCCGGAAACCGACGGCGTGTTCCCGTGAAATATTGGCACGGCTGGTGTATTATGCATCGCTAGTTCATTCTTATGCTGATGACAGATCCGCATAACGCAGCTTTGTGGAACACCGAATAGTGGCGATGTAAGAATATATACTACCCCATATCATCCCGTGGGTGTCGTCAGAAGCGACAGAGGGATACAAGTCAGGAGATAGGCTGCAGCATCTTCCTAATAATGGCAAAAAAAACTGGTTGCCACCCCGCTTTCCAAGCGTGACAACTATGGTAAATATCCCCTGTAAGAAGCAATCTATGGATGAGGCCTATGTTTAGCAGTGGACTTATAATAGGCTGTTTCTTAACGGTAACGGTTGTGGAACACCAGTATTAACAGGCTTGGAGTCGGAAATGCACCGTCGACTACGACCTTATTGCTCCGATCTGAGAGTAAACCGGTAATCAAATTGTATAGTTTCTCGGAAACCTTATAAGAAGGAAGCTTCGAAAGAAACGCTTTTGTGTCAAGCCCTATCGACGGCCTTCGCTATGGCTCGACTGCGCTCATCGGTGTGTTACGTAAACAAGAAGATCGCCAGCTGAGCGACCCCGACGGAAACCGTACTGGCTGTCATTAATCAGCTGGTGCTCTTCAAGGTACCAATTGTATAAGCAGGCAGTTAATAATGGATTCCATTATTTTCGAGAATAAGGATGTGAAGGCCTGTAGTTGAACGGATCAGAATTATTACCTATTTTAGACCAAAGCTGTCTTCCATAAATTCGAGACCAACGCCTAGGGAATAGGAGAACCGGAAAGAACCGGTGCCAACTCTGAAGAAGAAGAAGAAGAGTACACGTCTTCGGCACAATTGGGGGGATTTCGTCGGCCCACTCGACTTTTGGATATCCAAAGAGGGGAGTGTTTTTCGTACTGAGCATTGTGTGAATCTCACGCAAAAAATTGTTGTCAATTTTTATCCCGGATAGGAGAAATACGAAATAATAGCCAGAGATGACATCTGAGTCTCGGTTAGAAAGAGCAAGGTCGGCTTCGCCGTCTTCAGATAGTAGTAGATGGCGTTTAGGTTCGAGTTAACTTCCCCGATGTTGCAGAAATTCTCGGATAGCGTGGCAAGGGTCTTCTTTGTCCTGTTGCTAAGCTTACCCGGAGCAGTTTTTGTGTTGAACGGAGTTTTGCCCCCTCCTCTACCCAGAACTTAGGGCAGCCTTAGCACCCACACTTAGGAGAAGTAAGGTAGCTTGGGCGTGGATGCTCAGTGAGGGATTCTCCATTACCAGGGGTGCTGGTACCCTTCTGACGAAGTGTCTTATATAATTCCGCTACCATGTTAATGGGAGGGGCAAATTGAGCCTCTGGCCATCTGCACTTATCCAGGCTAAACGCAGAAGTTCACAGTTCACGGTACCTCCCCAGTTAAAGCTGGCCTATCCGTGCAAAAGCAAAAGCTGCCGCGTGGCTGCATTGGCACCACTGTTACTCTCACAGATTATCAACGTAAAACAGGATTTTAATGCTGCTGTATTTCATATTAGAGAAACGGAGGCTCTTACTAGTTACGAGGCATTTCGACGTGGCCCTCAGGGGTGCATCATCATTTTGATTCTTAAGTGGGGGATAATATTTATATTATTAGAAATAAGAGTTTTACATAAATAATATTTTAACATACTTTTTTTTATAGGAAACTGTTACAACAGAGTAGAGAGTGAAACAAAAGAAATACAAGCTAAAATACAAGAAAAATTAGGACTCAACCCCATTGAGAAGGATGTTATTGTATTATATGAAGGGGAAAATGTTCCCGAAATGGTATTGTATGTTTTGTTATTCTATATTTTAAATCTAAAATTCATCATGGAGTAATATTAATTATTGTAGGACTGCTTCTGAAGAAGTGTCAAGTTGTAATATGCCTCATATTCTAATCGACAGTGAGCAAATTGTGGAAATTCTCCCTACTATGAGAGAAATCCATATTTAGCAGTGCAGTGTTTATCAGGCTGATGAAGTAAATAAATGTGCATAAATTTTTTTTCAACATACGTTTTTTTTTTAAATATAAAGTAGGTGTATTCAATTATTCGTTTATTAAGGCATTAGGGTGACCCAAGCCACACCTTAACCTACTGTCGCTGATATTACTCCATAAGTGCTTTCGTATTTTTGACCAACCTAGTTGTAGCTATCAATAAATTGAATGCACCTAAACTTAACCAACCGCAATCAGCTACACCTAGTTATAGCCGGTTAAACCTAGCTGTACCGCACTTCTGCTTCTAGCAGTGACATATTTTGTTTAAATATAATTAGGGTCACAAACGAGCACACAGTCCACCTGATGGTAAATGATTGCTGTAGCTCATAGATATCTACATCTATCCTCGATTACAAATCAAAATGCAGATACATTGCCACCTGTGAGGACTAAGATGGAATGCCTCGTTTCCAGTAAAAAAAGGGCCTCCGGTTCTCTACACTCACCATACGAAACGCAGCAGCGTTATGCTGCTATTCTGTGAGAGCGTGGTCCTTCCCCGGTCGAGCCGACCCATTCGTGCTACAACTATACCAGTAATATAGCTGCAGCATGGATCTACCACGTAAAAATTTAACTTGGAATATAATACCGATTATGATAAAAAATGTGATTAAGAATTATAGAATATAATGAAGATTATATTAAAATATTGCATTCCTAGTAAATATATCAATAATTTTTACAGCCTAATGAATTTTGGGAAGGTAAGAGGATAATTGAGATGAAGAAAGAAAGACCTCAATGGTTCAGCAAAAATCTTTTGCAGAAATCAACTCAGCAACCTTCTAGTTCCAAAGATGTTAAGCCAACTGATCTGGCTTAAATGTTGAATTAAGTATGATATTGAATTCTTAGTATAGTGAATTAACATTAAAGTTATTGAATACAATATTGTTTCCTTTTTAATCATTTCAATAATGATAGTGATATTAAAGTTTTAGGTGTAAAAATTATTACAGAATTTCTGAATAACAAGAAGAGTTTGCAATAACCAAAATAATATATTTTATTCAATTATATACATTATTGTTTAAGAAAGCCATTCTGATGGTTGGCGGTGAGATACCGATGGCGTCAAAGAACAATGGCAGAAAAATTGTTGAAAAAAATTATTGTGTCTAGAAATAAGTTATATATAAAATGAGTTTTATTATTTTTCTATGATTTTTCAAATAAAAATGTAATTTAATTAAAGCCACAGAAAAAGAAAACATTTTTGGGAATATTAAATGACTTAAATCATGTTACTATTCAAGTGTTGCCATTTACTATATTCATACTATTTTCGTATACACTTTGTAAGACTACCAACACAACACACAAACACAAAATATTTTTATATTAAGTTATTATCAGTAATAATAAAAATAAAAGTGATATGGTTGAAAATAAGTCTCTTACAAAGAACTTCGTACAATAATACATTATCTCAATCATAGTACTAACTGTAACAATTCCATTTAATGTTATGGCAACACTAGCTAAAACAAAATGTCACTATAATACAAAGGCCCTGGAGCCATGCCAGAAATATAAATTTTTATAGTATGCAAATATATAATAGAGATACATTAATCTAAAACTCTCAATTATCTAGGTAGGTACATTATCTTGAGAATGTATTAAGCTAACATCAACCAACCACAGGACGCATGACTTTTTCCAAGTGACATAAGACATCACCTAAAAAGTTTCAAATCTAAATATATTTTTTTGACGCCTTCTCAGGACAAAATTCTTTGACAGTATTATTAAGGGACTGACGCTTAAAATTTTAAGATATTTTTGATATATAGACGCTACCATTCCTTCTCAACTAATTTTATGTATAAAAGTCTGCCATTGTTCTTTTTCACGGTGCTGCCCCAGCGTCGCACTGTGTCAAGATGCGCTGTCCATTCTTACAGCACTTGAACGCATAATTATTTCAATATAAATTATTATATTAAATTACATTATCAAAAGAATTAGGACTATCATCTAAATTGTTACTAAATGAATCTATTCCACTTTCACCTATAAAGTGTTGTTCTACATGTGATTGAAACTCTGTAAATTCAACATCCCTTTTAAAAGTTTGTCCACACATGGGACAAATTTTATCAAATTGCTCTACTGTAACATCCTTTTCATCGCTTTCTGAATCTTTGTAACCAGGTGAAGAGTCATTGTATTTGTTAGACTGTAGAGTGTTGGTCGTATCAATAAGACTGCCACTTGTTTCAACCTCCTTATTGTCCGTAGTTGTTATTCTTGTTTTATTGTTAATACAATTTGGACATTTGTAACCTTCTGTAATCATACAAAAGAAATATGAAAATTACTAAGAGGTACTATGAGAACAGGTTTCTGTGACATATATATATATATATGTATATGACCCTATAGGACCTTGGTTATTATAAATCCATCCATCCATCCATTTATTTAAGAAGCTGCTGCCCATCTTATGTTTCACTTTCAACTTGCCACCTCTTACGGCACACATGGAACAATACCCCTGTATAGTGGATATTCCTACACCACCACTATTCAACAAATAAAATATTTTCTGTTTTGAACAATAGAAATACCAGTGTATTTTCAAAACAGTTTTTGAACTGTTTATATTTTCTGTTTTGAACAAATACATATCACTTACTCTATTGTGTAATAGATATTGTTTACAGATCAATAGTCTGATTGGAGGTATAATGCTCTGTCAGTTATATTTTATAGGACAACTACCTTTTACCCGTGACTTCGTCCACATGGAACTTTAAGTTAAAATAGTAGTCTCTGGCCAAAAGTTCAACTATCGAAAAACCACTAAACTCAGTTTTTTAATTTTCTTATTATCTCGAAAACTATGTGCGCAACGGGCAAATGGTAAAAATTATAATTTAAAATTAAAAATTTTGTTCAACCAACTTCAATATAAATTATTAAGATTAACTCAAAAACTATTGGTCAGACCTTGATCAAATTTATATGGGACCACATGTGAAGCACCAGCTTTCAAATAAAAAAGAATTATCGAAATCGGTTCACCCAGTAAAAAGTTATGAGGTAACAGATATTAAAAAAAAAACATACAGTACAATTGAGTTTTACTGGCTCATTTTTGAAGTCAGTAGAAAATTGAAGAAGGGCTTATCACCTTATCCTTTAAAACTTTCTTTTCTGTCTTCAAAAACTATAGGGCAGTGTTTCTCAAACATTGTCCTGCCATGGCCCGGTAATTTTCACACTGTACCTTCGTGACCCACTTAATACTTTTAAACCTAAGCTGGTTCCATTAAGTAAAATAATACACATTTTTTAATAGTAAAAATGTTTAAAATGAATGTGAACGATGCGTCGATCGATAGTAGGATTATTTTTAAAACAAGGTGGGAATGTTGCATGCATGAATTTTTTGTTTAAAATTGTAAACCATAAAAGTTTTGTTTGAAACTTTTTTATATCTCTTTTAATTTACAAAAAATCTTGCATGTTTTTCAGATAAAATGTAGCCTAGCCTAGATTAGATTACTCCTGGCATTGCTCTTTATCTGTTCACAACATTTCATCACAATCGACTCAACTATTCCGAAGTTGCCTGAACAGACAGACAAATATTTTAAATGGTTCTTCTAGCCTTAATAGCATGCAAATCACACCCCGAGCTTAAAAAATCAATATGTTATACTTTTTAATTTATATTTTATGACTGAGATTTTAAGCATTACTAGGCCCTATGGTGGCAGAGTGAAAAGAAACTCAATCATCCTATTATGTCATGTAGGCAACGTAAGAGGCGGAAATAGGAAAAATCAGAAAATATGATTTCCCATAGATGTCAATTTAACAATCTCATTAATGTCACATGTAAAATACCCAGACTGGTGACGGGCAGTAGTGTTAAAGATGCAGATTGGTGCCACTAATGACAACACAATCATACCTGAAAAATCAACAACAATTTACTATGTGGGTAGGGTAAGGATGATTGGAATATATGCTGCCATCAGATGGATTACAGGTATGCAGTTAAAATGTTCAACTGCATGCAGTTGTGACTTCAATTCTGTGCTCTCACAGAATATCAGTGTAAAATGGTAGTACAATGCTACTGTGTTTTGTATGGTATGTTTAGAAAACCGAAGACCTTTTTTTACTGGAAACAAGGCATTCCACTTTAGTCCTCAGGGGTGACAATGCATCTGTATTTTGATTCTTAATTGAGGATAAATGTAAATGTATGTGGGCTACAGCAACCATTTACCATCAGATGGACTGTGTGCTTGTTTGTCACCCATATTTTAAAAATAAAAAAACTAAATAATAAATTTAAGCAAGTTGTAGCATGAAACATGTTTTTTTAAAATAACAATAAACATTTTATATTAATGATTAACATGGTGATTTAATAATTTTTGGTAGTCATTGTGGTACCTGTGTGCCCCTTTTAGATCGGAGGGTGTTTTTTTTATATTTTACTAGCTGTTCCCTGTAATTTTCCCCTGTGGAATTTATTACAATTAGATTTCATGGGTTTTAATATTTTTTGTGTGAAACCCTATATTACTTTTTATAAAATCAAAGTAGCCTAAATTACTCCTTATAATATCAGCTATCTGCCAGGGAGTCCCGTCAAAATCAGTCCTGCGGTTTTTGAGAATAGCCGGAACAAACAAACAGTAAAAATTTTATAAATTGTTTTTTTTTTTCGTTATCAGTACTAAGTATACCATATTCATTTGGTAAAAAGTTGTTGTTTTGACATTACAAACAGACTTCAATTTTATTTATTTGTACAGATATCTAAGATGTTTTGTAAAATATAGATGAACATGTTTTACCAGCTCATACAGTGAAATTTAATAATTAAACTAAATTATTACCAATTAACACAGTTTCAAGTCTTGAAATTACTAATTTTAAATCATCTTCTTGTTGGATAATTTCTTTTTTTAAATGTTGCAATTTTTCTATTTGATTATGTATCTCTTTTAATGAATCAAAAGCAGGATCTTCCATAAAGGTGAATCCTACTGAATCTACACTTAAAATATCATCATCCATTTCTTGAAGTTGTGACATTTGTTCATACTGCTCCACCAGTTGGGATTTTTCTTGAATGTAGCTATTAATTAGCTTTAAAGAAATCTCCTCTAAGCTTGATTCAGAATATTTTTCTTGATAGTTTGTACTAGGCCTCTGCATGTTTTGAATATAAGTATGTGTGCGTAACAAAGGCCGCTTACATAAATCTTTATTAAATGATTTGTCTTGACCCTTTAAAGAAGAAATTTTATTCCACAAGTTTTTATTTTCACAGGATACCATAAAGACATGGTGAATGAGTTGCGATTTCTGCTTATTAAGTTCTGCTATTTGTTGATGGAGTAGCGTTTTCTCGTCTTCTTGTAACGGAATGTAAGAAGAATTTCCAGTAGCCCTTGATATATCCAGTTTTAGTTTCATGTTATCATTTTCTAAAGTGTTTATTCTTCTCTGCAAAAGTAAACATCGATCTCGCATTGCATGTAAAGCTAATTCGTGAACACTTACGTTATCATATTCTCCTTTAAGAGTGGTCTGATATGTTGAATCATTATTGAAACTAACAATTGACGAAGAATCCATTGTTTTTAATCCATAAATTTCCAATAAAAAGGCGAGATCACAGAAATTAATAAACGAGTTATATACTTTTTTTGGAGTTTATCTTTAAGCCAATATATTATATACTTGCTTCTAAATTACACTAGATAAATAAATATATAGTTAAGGAACTAGGACTAAATTTTTTTTAGCTCTTATTAGTTTTTTTTTAATAACTGGCTTTACGGCTCTGGGATCTAGCCCTTCTGAGCCTGAAGTTACAATATATTATAATTATCCTTCATAGTACACTGCTTCACAAAATGTTGATGCGTCACATTGTGCAGCCCGACTTGATTTTTTGATTGCGAGACAGCAGACTTAGAATATACTGGCGTATAGAGTATAGACCGACATAGTGTGAATGAATGAATGAATGAATATACTTTATTGTACCATAGACATAGTATCTTATAGACTAAACATTCAGTGACGTCATCTGCGTGTGAAAGGAATGCACGTATATAGTTAAACATAAGGGTAAGGGAGAAGCAAAACAATATTTCTTGTCTTTTTCTAAGTATACGTTTTTGATTGTTTTCCCTCCTTTATTTGACATTAACGATGTCAAGCGTTTGTGATTATCATTAATATTATAAGCAAACAGGTAATTGAATTCAGTGTTTTTCGTGGGTTTTAGTTATTAAGTAAGGTGAAAAAGATGTTAAGTTGTAGCATTTTAGGATGCAATAGCATCAGTCAACGAAAAATTGATGATATTACCTTTCATCGGTAAGTTTGTTTTGTGCTTACATTTGCTATTTGTACTGATTAATATCTGTTGTTTTGAATATAAAGTGTAACATTTCATGTTTTTAATGAACTTTGTGATGTATTTTGTCAAATATTTCGACTCCCAAATTGTAAATTCTTCATGATAATGCTCCTTAATTTGAATGATCATTGCAAAGCTTAAAGTCATAACAAACGTGTACTTTTTGACTTGGTAGGATTATGGAAACTTTAGGGATATCATCTAGTACAATAATGTTTTCCCATTGTTCAATAATAAGTATTATTGTGATTAGTAGTTATGTACATAAATATGAATCACATAATGTTATACATATGCATACACTTTTATGTTCAGCTTTAAAGGAAACTCTCCTTATTGGGCAATAATATACAACTCTTCAATCATTTTCTATATTAATAGATGTCACAAATAATATATAATTATCAACCTGAAAACATGTTTAGGTTCAACTACATAAGTATTGGACAAAGTATATTTAATTTCACAAAATATGTACCTGAAATCACATGCACAAAACTTTATTGTATTCCATTAATTCTATCACACATTAGCAACAATTACATTACAATAGTTATTAAAAAATAACTAGATATGTCATACTTATATAAATATAGATAAAATAATAAATAAATAAGTCTTAATCTTAAGATACACAATAACACAACAACATAAGATAATATTCTCAATTAATGATGTAGAAAAAATTTTATGATAATATATTTACCGTTACTATTAGTCATTATCAAAAGTCAAAAGTTATAGGTTTTATGATTGTTGTCTAGCTTGGCAGGAGGATTGGCAACTGCAGTTATTTTGCAGACAAACTATGTGGGAGGTCTATGTTCAGCTGTGGAGGACATTTGTTAGGCTGTAAATGTACTAATTAACAATATCTAAAGCTTAATATGTACATTTTTTTTAAATGTTTGGTATGAATAATATTATAATTACATTTACATATACCTGCTATTTAATTAAATCAATTGATATTGTATTAATTGTTATAGGTGTTGTATTTATGCACAGATACTCATACTTGAATTTTTTTAAATACCTTGATATAAAAGTGTACTATATATTTAATATATTAATTTCTTTTAAATATATTATTTTACAGCTTTCCTAAAGAAACAGCTATCCGTAATTGCTGGATAATCGCTACTGTTGATGATTATAGATAACCAACAAAACTTAGCAGTGTATGCTCAAATCATTTTGAGCCTCATTGTTTTAGCGGGACTAAATATGCTTAATTTATGTAATTTATAATATAATTAAGATAAAATATTTAAAATGTTATAATTTATTGTTGTCTTGTTGTTTCCCCATAAGTGATATAAGTTTGACCTTGTTGGTAATTATGATTTTTGACATTATTCTGTATGTATTAAAAATTGAATAGCATTGCTTAATTTATTTATGGTTTTTGACTTTTTATTTTCAAATTTCTCTGTTATCATTCTGTATTATTATGACTTGTAATAATTTTATTGTAATTTATATTAATTTTCTTTGTGTAATTTGATTGCATGACAATGACAAAATATTTAATTATAGATAGATTGATTAAACATAAATTCTCATTTACATATGTAGGAACTTTATCTGTACTACCATGGTTTATGCAAGTAAAGATTTGAATAAAATAATAAATAAATAATTTTAAGTCCTGACTTAAATATACAAATGAATAATTTATTATGCAATAATAATTGTAAAACTGACTGTAAATGCCTACCAATGAGATATTCAGTCCCCCCTTAATCCTTTTTATAAAGGTGTTATAAACAATAATGTGGAAATAAGTTAAGAAATAAATAATTTATTAATAATAATTTACATTTAATTGACATAAATAATGTAATAAAGATGTTTTTGACAAGAGATAGGTATTACCTATCTAAGTATAGTTTAGGAGTTGTACCTTATTATTTTTATACCACTAAAATATATTATATACAAGGCATATAATATATATATACTGCCTGCTAATCAGATTTTAACAAGCAGCACCCAAGAGTTTCTGCCATGCAAAATTATAAATCAAGTTTATAAATGCATATTTTTTGAGAAATTCTAAAGCTACTCATACCAAGAATTACAACGAATGATCTAGAAAGAAGACAAAAATTTTGTTGTTTATTAATATCATGAAAAATTAATAAATAATCGTTTATTTATTTTAATTTTATTGGATTATATTTAATAATATAATTGTGTTTTCATTTGTTTTACTTAATGTAACATTGTTAATATTTCTAAATTTTGTGTAAGTACACAAAATTTAGTCCTTTTTCCTTTACAGTCTATCTAAAGTCCACTGCTGAATATAAACATGAACATAGTTATTTGCCATAGTTGCAACGCTTGGCAAGCGGGTTGGCAACCACTGCTTTTTTTATATTTAGCTGTTCATCAGGGAAATGCTGCCGTTAATCTTCTTAGTTTTATTCTTGTGTTTATTTTAAGTTTTCATCAGGAAAGTGCTGCTGCCCCATCCTCATCTTGTATTATTGCTTACGACGCGGGGTAGTATCATCCCCTGTATAGACAAATTCTCTTGTATGCCACAACTTGCTGCACACAAGCCACTAATCTTAGTAAGACATGCAGGAAATCGCGGAAGTTGGCTCAGAACCGTGTTTTGTACTACAAAACCTATGTGGAAACCTTTTCCTTTCGGAGCTCTGTGTTCAGCACTGAACTTGTGATGGACTCGTATGTTAAAACATTATTGAATTTTAAAAACATAACATTCGACACGAGGAAAGTTTTAATAATTAATTACCTAATATTTAAGTACATATTTTACATACTCCTACTTATTAGCGATAATATCGCTAATAAGTAGGAGTATGTAAAATATCGACGATTTCAATCGACGGATTCAACTCGGTTGGGCAGCGTTCGGGAAATTACGGCACATCTTCTCGTCAGGTATACCTCAAAACTTGAAAACGAGACTGTACACCCAGTGCGTGTTGCCAGTGATGACATACGGAACTGAGACGTGGTCCTTCACTGCTGGCCGGATGAGGAAGCTCAAGGTCGCTCAGCGAGCTATGGAGAGGGCTATGCTCGGAGTGTCTCTGCGTGATAAACTCAGAAATGAGGATATCCGCAGTAGAACTAGAGTGACCGACATAGCCCAACGGATTAGTAAGCTGAAGTGGCAATGGGCCGGCCATATAGCTCGAAGAACCGACAACCGATGGGGAAGAAAGGTTCTCGAGTGGCAGCCTCGTACCGGCAGGCGAAGTGTAGGGCGTCCCCCCACTAGATGGAGTGACGACCTGGTAAGATATGCAGGAAGTCGATGGATGCAGGTGGCTCAGGACCGTGCTTTGTGGCATTCTTTGGGGGAGGCCTATGTTCAGCAGTGGACTTGTGAAGGGCTGTAATGATGATGATGATGTATCGCTGCGATATCACACTTTGTGCTAATAGCGTTTTCACTTAGTGCCGTCGAAATCGAAGAGTTTATTAAATGTCGAGTAAAGTCGTCGATGCGCCGTTGAATTCGGAATGATGATTCTGTTTTTACGTCGTTTCCGTCCGTAGTTTTTAGTCACAGAATGTATTTTCAAGATAAATGAATTAATCATCTGAATTATAAAAGAACATTTTTTTATGTTAACAAATAAGTTTTTGTATGAATTAAGTGCTGTGAATAAAAATAAACCCAGATTGGGGGAAATGGAATAATATCTGGTAACCCAGGGAAAGTACCTCCCGCCTATTTCTATCTCAAAAGCATACGCGAATGCTTTATCTAGTCAATCCTCTATCTACGTATTGTACACCACGAACAAATATACAAATGTCATAACAAAATCAGATTATAATATGTACAATTTCGCGGCCTTATCGCTACATAGCGATCTCTTCCAGGCAACCAAAGATGTAAAGTAATACAAACAATGAATAGGTAGGTGGTAGGTGGTGCAATATAAATATACAAATAATAAATGCAAAAAAAAAGATATAAATAACTAAGTAATACATGAAATAATATAAATTACTAACACATAATAAAAGATAAGATAACACATATATACATATACATACACATATACATACATATATACATACACACATATATATAAAATTCCTCAAACAATAATATAAAGCTGATAGATACAATAAATACATAATCACACAATCTATCCTAACGGTCTCCGAACGACTGAGACAAGTAATGCTCTTTAAGAAATCGCTTAAAGAT